GCATCCCCAGGAAAAGAAGTCTCACAACAGATGGAAAATTTATTTGTTAATGCTATTATGTCTCATAATTATTTTTAAAAAAAGAAAATGAAAATGTAAAAGATGTTAAAAGGATACGGGAATGGAGATATTTACCAAAATAGAAAAAATGAGAAAGCCTAAGCAAGTGATGAGGGTCTCTTTAGGTTTGTTATGATGTATAAACGATGAGACAAAAATAATGTACAAATAATCTTAAATTTTCCATGGTCATAGTTTAGTCAACTAGTTCAAGGAACAAAATATCTATCTAGTCAAGTTTTATCTGAGAATATTTGTTTTTTACCCAAGCCTTATCTACATAGCACATGATAATTAAAAGTACCAGACTGGTGGCCTTATTGGATGTTTAACAGCCATAGTTTGAGGTCTTATACTAATGTGGTTGGAGGGACTTAAAGGGCAGTTTTTGCCCCTTGCCCTCCAAGGTCGACTAAGTTCCAGGGGACTATGGAACATCTCTCAAAATGTCCTGTAACTGTGGTGAGTCACCTGTCCTCTTGTTCAGGGAGGACATGGAGACCCCACGAGATGGACTTGAACCAGTGTCCAGTCTACAAAGAGGAGGGTCAACTCAGAGGTAACATCTCCTTCATGCTTCCAAGTGAAGCCAGACATGGTCGAGCAGGACCTTTACCTTATGTTCACACAGATGGAACTGGTAAAAGAAATAAGCCAGGGGCTCCTCCCAAGCCCATGTGATCCCTGAGGAACAGATCCTCATGATTTTGTTCCTAACCAGAAAGTGCTGCTCAGATGTAAGACTCAAATCTTGTTCTGCAATACTGTAGTGCCCACCTGTAGCTAAGGGAAACAACTAGCTATTCTAAAATGATGGATAAATTTGTTTTTTCCCCCTGTCTAGAAGCCTTTGAGAGAGAACTGATACCGAGTCTAACCACTCTAACAGCTATTAAAATGCCCGAAAGCAAATCCTGAATCCATCACTCTAGAGTCCAGCCTTGGAAGACAAAAGAAAAATGTGGAGGAACTCAATAGAGGGATGCTTTTGGAAGCCCTGTCAAGAAATTCCAATGGACTCTCATATGAACATTCAAAAATTGCCCTGTTCTGACTTTTTTCTAGTTCC